TCTCTCTCTCTCTCTCTCTCTCTCTCTCTCTCTTTATCTCTCTCTCTCGCGCGCTCTCTCTCTCTCTCTCTCTCAACACTTCCTTTTCATGGGTAAACATAACTAGTGATCTGTATAACCAGTAAGCACGGCACGCCAGGTTGTTATAGTTTCCCCTACATATAGAACGACACGAGGCTGTCTGTATCAACAGGGACGCCCCACCTTGAATAATATCACGCAGTACTGCAATCTATTGTACTACCAACCCCCATAAGCATCCGATACCCGGCTGTATACTATAATATAATTATTACATTAAACGCCGAGCGCAGGCGCAGGCGCGCGCAGCAAGATAATTAACTATTGAACGATGATTCAATCAAATTTGATGAATTATTAAGCGAAAGTTGAGCAATCGTATTCGTCAAGATTTCGTCGCTGCGAAGACGCGCGCAGTGCGGACAAATCGCCTTATCCAGTCGACTATCCTACATAATAAATGCCCTCGACTAGCTCGCATCAGCTGCAGGGGGAGACGTGGTGCCCTCGCTCGCGCGCCTGGGGGAGGGGGGCGAGCGCTAGCTGACTACCGTGATCGTTCGCTATACTTTACTCCTCCTCCAACAATTCGCGCTATCGAATTTCTGTTTCGCAATTAGAAACGGGCGACCGGTCGCGCTCGACCGTGGCGCCACGAAGCGGCCGATCGGATATCGCGGGAGAGAGGAAGCGAACGGAGACACAGCTTGCGACACGGACTTCTACGCTAACAAAATTAAACAGAAAAAGGGTTTACGAGGTTACGCGCGGAACTAGGTGCGCGTGACGATGTGAGGTTTCCTTCCCTCGTCTGCAATATGGCGGTCGGTGTACGTATAGCAGACGATTTAATGCTCGCGTTCGCCATAATTCGCGACGCACGCACGAATATCGCGAGCCCCCCCCCCCCCCCACTCCCGAGAGGGGAAACGAGAAGCACTCTCCTTTATTTACGACGATGCGAAACGACAAATTCACGTTCCTCGGCAAAAATCGGGCACCAGCGGCGAAATGTCTCGTTCACCGTCAGTCTGTTTATATATATATATATATATAACGCTGAAGGCTGTAACTGCAATTACATCTCATCGTGTAAAAAGTAGACGCAAAAGAATAAATACGGAGACGACTTTTTTAGGTTTAG